AAAAAAAAGTGCTGGTGCAAAATGGCAAAACTTTAGAGAGACCTGGATGGCTTGTGCTTGCCCTCCTCCCCATGGGGGCCAAAACATGCAGGACAGGAACTGTTGACAATTAAGTGATGAAACTCTCCAAAAAAATGGAGGCAGAGAAAGACTCTGGAAGAAGATTGGTGTGTAGCCGGCTTCTGTCTATTTCCTATTTGTACCTTTTTTCATTTGCTTGTGCTTAATTGCTTGTAGAGGGAGGAATGCATGTGAAATGTAGGCAGCCGAGCGCCTTAAGTTTGCAAGAGATCGGCGTAGACACTCGGGAAGGGGGTGGATTTGAACCGAGGGGAAGGAGAGGGTGGGACGAGACTTATTTTTTTCCCTGCCGGTGAGGGATTGTGCTGGTCCGGGGGTGGGGGTTGTGCAGGGCTGGCTGCCGGGATCGCGGGTTTGCAGTGTGTGCACAGAGAGCCCAGCTTTGTCCCTGGGCGTGCGGAGCGCGGGGGTCGTGCCCGGGGTCCCCGCCGGCTCGCACCGGGGCTCCGGGGAGGGCGGCGGCAGCAGCCCGGCCTCGCTGCTGCTTCCCCGGGCCTACTCCTCGCACACCCCTCCGTGCAGCGCACTCGCCCCGGCCCTTGCCCGGGACCCCCGCACTTTTCCCTGGCGAAGTGCGCAGGCTCTGCCGGCGCTGGCATAGCGTGGATCGGAGCACTGGGGTGGGGGGAAGCCCATCAATCCCGGCGTTACATAATGCAATTTGTTTTTAAATCGCGGCTTCCGGTGTGACTATGGAAACAGTTGGAGGGTGGAAAGGCTGCGGGGTGCAGGCTGCATTGCCTGCTTGCAGGGGGTGGGGTGGGGGGTGATGGCAGGGCGATTGAATGGCAAAGAGCATCAGAGCTATGCAGGGCTCCTTCTTCCCTCCCTGCCCCTCCCGGCGTTGCACAGGGGAAGCAGGCGGGGATGGACGCGCACATTTCGCGTTTAAAGAGTAAAGAGACATGCAGCGTTTGCCCGCAGCCAAGCACCTGTTGTCTCGGGTCGGTCCCGTGTCCCCGGGGAAGGGGGCGCAGGGGCAGCGGTCCTACCTGGGTGGGGGTTGCATGCCCGCATCCCCCCTCGTACAGCGCCTTGTTTCTGATTTCTCTTGCAGCGCTCTATTGGCAGGAGGAGGTACGATGAGAACGAGGACCTCTCGGACGTGGAGGAGATTGTCAGCATCAGGAGTTTTAATTTGGAGGAGAAGTTAAGGAGTAAAATGTATCATGGGGATTTCGTGCATGCCATGGAAGGGAAAGGTAAATGCGGGGCTGGCGCGGGGGTGGGGGGCGGCTCCTGGCCGCGGTTGCTGCGGAGGAGCGGAGCTGGTGGCGTCTCCACGTGCGGAGTTTGTGGCTTGTTTCGTATTTCCCGCCTGCATCCCCCCTTCCAGGGGATCCGGTGACGAATCCAGGCCGAGCAGCAGGGGAGGGGTTGGGGGGGATGGGTGTTGCACACTGGGCCCTCGCCAGGAAACAGCACACGCACACGGGTGTGCGCGGGCACGGGCTGTCCTGGCTGGACCCGTTTCCACGTCCCCTGTGCAGGGACGTGCCCCTTCTGGCGTTGGCATCAGGGGTGCGGATGCGGCTTGCAGGGAAGCCTCGGTGGCTGCCAGCCTGACCCCGGCTCGCTTCCCTTGTGTTTCCAGGGATCAGGTTGGTGGAGTTGCTGCGGGAAAGCCCAGCCCCCACTTCGCCTGCTGGTGTTTCCCGCTGCCCCTCCGCCCCCTATTCAACCGAGGGCCCTTTGCATCTTGTTTGTCAGCTGCTAAGGATGCAACGCCAGGCTGTAGACCTAACAGCTGGGTCGTGTTATTAAATTCCGCCTGCCCCAAACCTCGTAGATTGGCTTGCGACCTACACGGCTAGATAGGTACTCGATAGGGAGAGCAGCCCATGCAGGGGTTGCTCTCCCGCAAGGGCAATGGATAGGCATAGTTTGCCCCTTGGAGCAGATGTAGGGGTGGCAGCTTCTCAAGTCATCTTCATGGGGTGCGGAGTCACTGAACCTGACACCAAATCCCAGCTACTTATGTGCAGACCCTGTGGCCTTGCCCACGGACGATCTAGTCCGCACCAGCCCTCAGAAATGGGCAGCCGCTAGCTGTCGTGTGCAGTCCACACCAGAGGTCAAGAATGACTGAGTCAGGCATTTAATTAATTAATTATTTTTTTTTCCCCAAAGCTCAGTCTTGGTGGACATTTTTAACTCCTAATGTGGCCAGGGATATCAACTGTTGTATATAGAGCCAGGTTTTTTCCTGGAAGGGAGGGGGAAATAGCTTCCTCCTGTCCCAACACAAGATGCTGACACCTGGTCCTTGCTTTTAAAATGCTGGGTAATTTTTCAGGGATTGCCTTCTACCATCATTTCCAAATTCTTTGCTCCTTCCCATTGCTGCTAGCTAACCCTTCCGCTATTTCCCTTGCTCAGCAGCTTTGCAAACCTTTTGTAGCTTTCTCCCTTCTAGGGAACTTGAAAATAAATGAGTGTCTTTTGTTACTTTGTTTTGGTCTATGTCTGCTTTGTTCAGCCCCACAAGGGATTTTAATGCTTTGTTGGGCCTTTATAAAGAGAAGGTCTGTTTTCATTTTTACCACTGGTTTAATTTTCTGTAAAATCAAAAGATGAATTGAACTTAATCAAAAATACTAAATTTGCCTACTGTGCTGGTGAGAGCAAGACTAGAAATATCAAGATATTGGAACACATGGAACCGGTTGATTTTTTTTTTTTTTTTTTTTTAAAATCTTCTATTTCCTTGTTTCTATTTTCAATGGGAGCAGTACTTTGATCTCCGGCCAGGAATGTGGGCTGGAAGTTTTCTTCAGAGGTGCTGCAAGGCTGCAGTGTGATTTTTGGCTTGGACACAGCCCACCATAGCTATTTATTCCCTAGCCTAATATGCAGTGGATCTACTTCTCCTGGACACCCTCCACCTGATTCCTGACTTTGTGTCTTGAATGGAGGATACGCTTATCCAGTGGATATTTATTGATTCAGTTAAATAAAATACTTAAAGGACTTTTTTAAGTTGTAAGGCATTTACATAATAAACCGTAATGATTTTTGCTAATAGGGAACTATTCCTTATGTTGCCTCTCATTTAAATATTGATTGTGGAAGGTAAATTCTGTGCGATGGAAAAAGAAATGATATTTTTAAAGGGTTAGTAAAATAATAATCAGCTACATGGGCTATTTGTTTAGCAGCACTAAGCAAGGATCCTTTATCCACACTTTTTGTAACAACGGGGAAAGTTATAGAAATAGATAAAAACATGAGTGGGAATACGAGTTTATCATGAATTTCCAACACCCCACTGTAGTTTGGGTGTCAGAGGAACATGATTTGTATAAACCTGGGGATGAACTTTTTCATGCAGTGTCCCAGGAAGGTTGTATTTTAGATAATTACTTATTTGATCAGTTGACAGTAGAAATGTATAGACAAACAAGCATAGTATTGAGTGTTTATTTAGTTTAAAGTGCTGTTAATATTTGTAGCATACAAATAACCCTGAGGGGATGCTGTCCAGCTATCCAGACTTCACTTTTCCTTTAAAGAGGAGGATTACAGACCTCTGGACATACTCTCTGGCTACTTCAAGATTAAATTTTGCATTTCTGGAGGCAGAATATAAATCGACTGTGAAACTTGTGAAGACTTTACCCACCCAAGTGAATGCTTATCACTTTTTCCTACTACCCGAAACAGGAAAAAAAAATTGTTTCATCCATGACGCATGATTCAGACCACTGAATGTTAAAATCAGCATAAAGGGCCAATTCATTTTCATCCTTAAAATGAAATAATTATGCTTTATTATTCAGACAACAAATCTTTGTTCTATTTTCTAGTTATTTGGTCAATAAATATGTACTCTCCTTTAAATCAAGATTTCTACCCTCATCTCACTAACTCAGCCATGCCTGAGGTCACAAGATTTTCACCTATAGGCTTCTGTCCTGCCTGCACATTATGGACCTGTTCAGTTCATTGAACTTACTCAGACTAGTGTCAATCAAATATGTGCCCAGCTGTTTGCAGGATCAGGGTCTTACAATGTACTGCTCTAAAGTTCAGTAGAAACAGAAATATGTAGCTCAGTCCATGCCACATTGCTTAATAGGCAGACAAGGTTCTTTGGGTAGATGCGATATCTTTTAGTAGACCAACTAAATAGTTGGAAAAATTGTTCTTTGCAAGCTTTCAGGCACAAATACCCTTCTTCAGGCAGAACTTTGTCTCGCTTTGTCCTTAGACCAACACAGCTACCACCAACGACACTAATAGTAATTTAGATCAATCTCCTATAACAGTTATGCAGCATTTCATAACCCAGACATTTCAACCTCAGACTCCCATTAACAAGCACCGCTTTCTACTTTATGTGCGTCTGTAAATAAGGAAAATAGAGAACAGCTGCAGACTATTGTTTGTCACCCAGTTTCTGCTTGTGACCTAAAATTTTGCCTCTCTTTACAGTTCTGTATAAGTTACAGTAAGTTTTCTTTGCTGAATACAGAAAAATGGAGAATCTTGACAATCTCTGATATGAAGCAAAAATGTAATTTTAATTCTTTTTGTGTATTTAAATCAGATTTCACTTTTGAGTATGTGCAAAGAGAAGCTCTCAGGATTCCCCTTATTTTCAGAAGTAAAGATGGACTTGGAATTAAGTAAGTTGCAACTAAATCCTAGTTTTGATTCAATGTTTTATGAAATAATCCTAATACCTGCATGTGGTCTCAAAATGTATTATGGATAGCATGCTCAAGAGGGGGGTAAGGGTGATTATACTTCGTTTACAAATGAGCAAACTGAGGCTGGGAAAGTTGCATTTGGGGCAGTTGTACAGTCACAGAGCAAGTCAGTGACAAAGCCAGAAACCAGAACCCTGGTTTTGAACCATCTAATGACAATATTTGTGTCTGACTTGCCATGCAACTTCTAAGTTATGTTCTGAATGATGTGTGGGGGACACTGTGATAGCTACAGTTAAGGAAGCTTCAAATTTTCCATTATAATGGTATTTTTTTAGAAACCAATATTTAATTATTTATAATAGAATTCAGAATTACTATTTGTATGGGGTTGGTTTTGTTTGAAATCTCAGGACAAAAAGGATTAAGTTTTGAGAAATAGTTGATTCATAATATATTGTTTTCTGATTGGAAAAAAAAGACTACCTGCAACCACTTTTTAAGAGGTTTTAGTACCTAGAAGGCAAGGACTCAATGTGTCAGGCAGATAATTCATGGGATGGGGAAGGGCCTTTTGACATTTTTGGGGAAATGTTTACTTATAAAACCTTGGTATTAAAATGAAAAAGTCTCTGATAACTTTGAGATGCTACTTATTTTATTTTTTGTGTGTAAAAAGTTCTGTGTAGTGTTTCTAAAGTGGTACAAAAATGGAAAAATCCTGATATTGTATGATGATTATATTAAAAGTGACTCCTCAAGCACAAGCAGTATAAAGCTCAGGGAAGGTTGTGCAAGCAATTTTTTGTTGTCCTTAAACTTTTGAGTACTTTTGAAGTACTGTGCTTCATTTTACTACTTTACTGTTTTTAATGTCTGTTTTGTATAAGATTATACTCCTGGGTTTCTCAGTTATGTTTTCTTATGGATATTTTGTCCTCTAGTTCTGTTAATGCTGAGAAACCAGGCAGTCACACTGTAAAAGAGTAAATTACATTTTCATCTGCCTCACACAGCATAAATACAGCTGTCAAGTTGGTTACAGTGCAGAATCTCTATGACAGGTGAAGATATAAGGGGAATAAAAAAATGCCTCTTGATTTTCAGTTCCCAGGTGGAGTTTGGAGAGCTGATGGTTAGAGAAAAGGGCTTTTGAATTGTAAACTGGATTCTGAAGAGACTGGGAGAGAATAAATATGGAGCTCCATAGTAACAGTTTTACAGTCACTTTACTGACTCTAATCACACTCTAATGTTCATTAAAGGGGAAGAGAATGGATACTTGAGTTTGCCCTGATGAGCTTAAAATAGTCTCCAGCCCCCAGACTTGACTAGCCAGTTTCTTTGTCCCTTACCCAACTGCTGATATCTTTCCTCTATTCTAGTGGGAATGTACTTGGCTAACTGATCCTGTATTGTTCCCCCCCCCTTACAAAATGAACCATATCGTGTGTACAGCTTAATCCAGCAGATGGAATTAATAGCCTGAGAAGGTCAGAGTAGCTGGTATGCAGTATATATATTGCATATCATACATTAAATATGTATATACTATGTATATATGTATATATCTATCTATCTATATATATCTATCTATCTCATACATTAAAACCAAATTAAAAATACCATATAATCATGTAATTCCAGATGTATCATAATGGTTAGATATGCACAGGAAGCCTAAATGAAGGTGGCACAGCTTTTAAGTGCTTAGTTTTGCAACCTTAATCATTTTTCATACTATTTTTTATATAATGTCCGAAGTGTTTTGCAGTATTTTATTTTTTAAGAACAAATGGGGAAAACCAGAAATGCCATTGTTTGTCATCTTACTGAAACTCCTGTAGGTTATCATCACTCAGTAGGGTTGGAAATGTTTAGTGCCATCATACCTTTGTCTGCCCTTGAGCTACTTGAGTCACTGATGGGAGTAGTCCGTGGTCCTCCCTCCCGCACCACTGGAGAAGGATGGGACACTTCCTTTGGGTTTCACAGGTATTTGAGAGCAGAGGAGTGGGAAGGCTCAGGAATCCTGGGTTGCATTCCAGACACTGGAGAAAAGTGTTTTCTAATGGGCACAGATTCCTCTTCTCATTCCCCCGCTTCCTGGGCCCTGCCCCTTTCTGCTCCCTTCCCCAGGTTGATCTGTTGTCTCTTCTGCATTCAAATTGAGTAGTTTTGTCTTCCAAACTGCCAGAGCCTGGCAGGAAGGGCGGTGTGACAGGCTCTTTGCTTTAACGTCTGGCAGAAGGACCTGCAGCTTACTGCTGGGATAGACTGGATCTTGGAAGATTTAGCTTGTGAAATCTAAGAAGTTCCTGCTGAGCACTTACAAACTGGCATTTTTCAAAGTTTTGTAACATGGGCATTTTTTGGTAGGTTTTCATGGATATGGCAAGAGGCGTATCTGACACAAAAGCTCCCAACTTGCCCAATTTTAAGTCCCTCTTCCAAAGCATGAGTATGCCAGTTCTTCTCAAGATCAGCATTATTACAAGAGTAAAATGCCATATTTACCCAGCAGTCAGGGCTCATGGTGATATGCGGTGATAGCTTTTATTAAACCACCATGATTTTTGCAAAAAAAAAATTATTTATTTTCTCTAAAAAAAAAAAAAAAAAAAAAAAAATCTAAAAAGATGTCTGTATTTTCCCTGCTTAATTGTTACAAATGGCTGAACTGTCTTGCCTGAACTTTTCCAAAAAAATTAAGATTGAGGCAGACATCCATCAGGGGACATTTCAGCCCAAATGGTTAAAGTTTGGCTAAGCAATACATAACTGAAAGTATGTTCTTTTAACAGGAAGTGTTAAGCTACCTTCATAATAGTCAGTGCTATCATCAGGCTCATTTTTTTATTTCCAAAATACTTTGACAGGATTAGAGAAAACATTTCAGCTCCAGTGTTTTCACCCTATTCACACTTAAGTAATTGCATTCTGTTGACACAGATTCTTTCAGCAGCTGCAAACCAGGCTGCAGGCTTCAATCCCTGTCCCAAACTCTTGTGTAGCATTGCAGTCTCCAGCTCCGTTTAGAGCACTTTGGTGGAAGGGAGCCCTCTCTGTAGTAGACCAAGCAATTTAGGATGAAATGTGCTATATAAATATATGTAACAGGCAATATATTTAGCACTAGTATAAGAGCATTTGAGATTGATCTGATACTTAGTAGTAATTGGAGCTGTGTACTTCTAGTTGCCTGATGTTAAATAGCTTGCATGCCTGTCACCGACAGATCTACAACATGTAGCTCTTCTGTTGCTGTGTAAAGTAAGGCTCTGAAGTTGCAGGAAGCGTGGTAACTGATGGAGAGATGATTAAAAATGAAAGTCAATGTTAAACATTGCTTCTGTGGTTTTCCATTTCGTATACCCAGCCATGGCGAGCCGTTGTTATTCCTAGTGGTCAGAAGCAGGAAGCACAAGTCCTGACCTCTTTTACCAGCAGTTGTTTTCTTTAGGCAGATGTGAACATTTAGATGCTCCCGTGATTGTATGTTCGAAAGCTGTTTCTTTTGGTTTGGTGGCCTGCAGCAGACACCCACTGTGACACTCTCCTGCTGCTTTCCTCTCTCACCTTTACCTGGAGGCCTACTTTCTACTTCATCCTGCACCTCAGAGCACGGGTACATTGCCTTTATATATAGGGCAATGCCTCCTCCTATTCCCTGCCTGTCCTTCCTGAACAAGTTACCACCCATGCCTGTATTTCAGGCATGTGAAGTATCTCACCACATCTCCATACGCCCAATTGCACGATCATTCTTTATTTGTACTAGGACTTCAAATTCTTCCCGTTTCTTCCCCATGCCTCTTGCATTAACGTATAAGTATTTGAGGTGCCTAACTGAATGTCCTGTCTTTTCTCTGAGAACATTTCTAAGGCTTCTGCTATTGCTTCCCTTTACTAGGTTTTTAACCAGGTCCTCTGGCTTTTTACTTACTTCTGAGGTTTTTCTCCACCTTTAGATCTTTAATTACTGCATCTTCAAAGTACTGTACAAACAGAGTTCTCAACCTTGTCATTAATGTGCAGTAACTAAGATAGAGATCTCCTGTCTCTGTCTTTTGTTTGTTTTTCTTTCCTGACTTTTAAGTTGCCCTGTTTGCTCTGTCCCAAATGTTAATGATGTCAATCCACAAGATCTCCGCAAGGCTCTGAATGGCTTGTGCTTCAAATTCTCCTTCTTGATGCTCTCAGCTGCTACTTACTTGCATTTAAAACCTAAAACATGATCTCTATTAAAAAGAATGTTATAAATAGCAGTGTCAGCACCAGGGAACAATTGCACCACCTTTTAGCTTAGAGACTGGAAATATCTGATGCAGAGTTGGGCTCAACTGAATTCAGGTCCGAGACACTTATGTTGCTCCACCACGGTACAGTTGGGTTGTTCTCTATTGTAGAAAGAATTTCAGTGTAGCGTCTGTAGGAGAGCACTTGGGATGGTTTCATTCTCAGCTCTGAATCTGACAATGTGTGATGTGGCATTGTACAGGTCACTTTACCTCTTTATGCCTAAGTTTATATGTATATGCATGGGGGAAAGACTAGATAATTTACCTTATGGGGGTATTTTGAAGCTTCTTGTTTGTCAAGACCTCTGAGATGCTGAGCTGGCAGATGCAGTAGAAGTAAACCAAAGTTTTGAGTTTGTCAGAAAACCTGTCCACATGCAACTGCTACTAGCAGGGTGCCAGCACATGCTCCCTAATCATTCCGAGTAGAGACATTTTGCCCTTGTGCTAAACAGCTATGCCATATAGCATCAAAATAGTGAATAATATGCCTTTATAATATTCTCTGTCCTGCCAGAAAAAAGCTGTCCATGCTGTTCAGAAAAACTACTTGATCCTTGCTGCTAATAGCCATGTTTTGTAAAATGTGGAGAAATAGCACTATAAACTTATTTCTGTTTTATCCATGTGAAAATTTGGTCCCTCTTTTATTTGGACAGCATTCACATTCCTTTTCTTTGTATTGCTAATTATAGAATGCCTGACCCGGATTTCACTGTCAGAGATGTGAAGTTACTAGTGGGTAAGTTGTTCTGATTTTACTGTATTTTCTGTATTATCAGTGCTGCTTTTTTAATGTTAATTTTGTATAAGACTCCAGATGTGCTTGTAAGCACATATTAACTCAGGATCTGAGGGAAAGAACAAAGAGCCAGTCTGAAAATATACTAATTAGTAGTTATACTGATGAAGCCATGAAACATACTGGAAAATGGGGCACTTGTAAATATAGTGAATGCTTTTCTCTAACAGGTAGTAGATACCTGTTCTTCTAGCCAGATGGCATTAGCTGCTTCCATGCAAATACATCTTTTATCTTGGAAAGCAGCAATTTTGCTGATGGAGCTTGTAGACATGATTTGTTGTTGAGCAATTTGTTTTAAACACTTAATTACAGCCATATAACATGGTAGCTGTGAACTCTTTATAAGCTTATTAATGTCAGGCCAGGGCAGTGCTTTGATGGAAAAACTCCAAGGGAGCTCAAATGTGGAAGCGTCATGAGATGGCTTTGGTGGTTTACTAGCAGGCACTCTTCCCTGCGCAGTATTGAATTAACGCCCTCACATTGTCTTCAGCAACACTGTCTTTTGCCCGAGACCTAACACGAAGGTCCTGATCATTTGTGCGTGTAAAAAAATCATGGCAATTTTTGTAGAAGTCGGAGTGTTAACCCTGATGAAATGGCTGTGTTTAAACAGTGCAATTATGTTACGTGCTGTCTAAATTCCTCAGCAAATGAAAATGTGCAAGTTATTCTTCACATCCTGATCTAACAATGGGCAAATCTACATGTGACACTACATCGCCGTAGCAACGCATTGTGGCGGCATAGGTGTGTGCGTGAGTCTACATGTGACCAGCAGCTACTTTGCCGTAGCGACACGCTTCCTGGGTATAGCACACCACTACGGAGAAATAGCTGCTAAAAATCACCATGAGCTGCGTAGGGTGGAGTAACAACATCGCCATAGCGATACGTGTAGATGTGCCCAATGATACTCAGTGCTGTGTCCATCAAAACTGGCTGCATTTCAGTGATGGGAAAAGTGGTCTCTAGATGTAGATCTTTATATTGATGTTAAAATTTTAATTCACGTTATAAAGAATTAATTATTGGTGTGTAAGTGTTTTGTGTTTGGAAAATGCCTAGAAAAGACTCCTGACTTATTTAGTTGCAGAAATGCACAAACCCAAATGCATTCATGCAAAATTACATTTAAGCTAATTAATGGACATGCTATTTAAAATGAGACAAAAATGTAACTTAAAAAAAGAGATGATGCAGCTATTTCAGTTTTACCATTTGCCACGTAGAGAGAATCCCTATTTCACTAAGGAAATGTTGTTGTGTTGCTTAACTGACAATGTTGTACAAAGAGCTTTGAGATCTTCTATCTGACAGGAGATATTGTAGAACAGTGGTCTCCAAAGTGGGGTGCGCAAATCAATCCACTGGGGTGCGGGAAGAAAATACTAGAACTTCTATTTCTATTTCGATAAATATACGTATATTGGGGGTGCATGCTCAAAAATTTTTTACTGATAGGGGTGTGCGATCAAAAAAGTTTGGAGACCGCTGCTGTAGAAGTCTAGTTGGAAGTGTTGTTTTGATATCAATATAGAATTTATCTATATAATTTGATATCAGTATAGAATTTTAATATCTTTTAATATCCATACATTCTTAGATGGAAATAGGAAATATGAAATCATATGAGAGCACAAGGAAATCTTATGACTATTGAGGAAATCGGTATTGTTGAAGTTGGAGATGTTGGATTTCTGCTGTTTTGCTGTGCAGTGGCTTTCCATTAATGCTGATTGTCTGCACTCTGGAACAGCTCCTTTGTAGATTTATGCCATAACTTCTGCTCTGCTGTTTCTCATTTTGAAGTTGCTGCAATCATTTAACTAATTATGCAGTAATTCTGGGAACAGAGTAGTGTTGCATAACAGACTATTATGTAGGAAAAAGTGTAAGTGTGAGAGCTGCTTTCCCCTAAGATTGATATCTTTGGAAATATTATGGGGTGGAGATTCCCATGTATGTTGGCCAAGAACATTAGGGTGAAGTAAAGCGCAAAGCAGTAGGATATCTATAAATGATATTACATTCTTTAAATAATGAGGCATAAATAAAAATCAAATTGAGAACTGAAATTTGAGGACATGAAATTTCTCACAGTTGGGAGCAGTAAGCTGTACACACATACCTGGCCAAACTCTGAATATTATATAGCTATCCTCTCACTGCATTTGGATGAGCTTCAACTGGAAATCCCAGTCCCAGCCTATAACTTGTTCAAGAAAATTGTTTCCTGCTGTTAAAAATAAGATGTATAGCATTTGGCATCACAGGTGGAAACTTGGTTTAAAAAAAACCCCATCCACAAATATTTAGGGGGTCTCTAGGTCTGCAACTTGTATCTGTCAGTTCACTCTTTTATAGCAAGCCATATATACAAGCACAGTATCTATCTGCCTTACAGCACACAGAGGGCCATGTACAGGCCTGGTGAAAGCAGGTGCAACTCCATTGTCTGTGTCTAATTTCCAGAAGGCATGTAAGTGAACTCAGAAAGTCAGGCAAACTAGAACGAGCTCCATATTAGATATTGTTTCTGCTCATTTATCCAGTATTTTTGACTTAGTGCCTAAAATGAAACCTTTCCATGTGGGACCTTAAACAGAGTTCTCACCTGCTCTGTGCAAGTATTAAAGACCCAAGATACTTGTCACAATTGGATTTGTTCCTGTGTTTTTGAAAATCGCCCTTCCTTGCATGTGAACTTGCAGGTTACTGCATTTCAGGAATACTGTGTGTACAAGTGAAATGCCTCAGGGAACGTGAGAGAAAGATCTTTTACAAATATGAAATAGTGTAATATCTACCCACAGAGTCAGAATTTGTGCTGAAGTCAATAGGGAGAATGCAGCTTGAAAATAAAACACTCTAGCTTAAGTTTTTCTATTGTGGCCATCATTGTAGCATCTGTAAAAGTTTTAATTTCTTCCAAGGATGAAAAAATGCACATGTATCTTTGTCATAAGGATGTTTTCGAGAGATTCTGGGCACTAGTTTTCAAGGTAGCTAAATCCCATTGCAAGTCAATGGGACTTCAAGTCCTGTGTGACTTTAAATTTTTGAAAATCTCACCCACTGTTGATTAAAAAAAATCAAACTCCTTTATCTTTGTTACTAATAACTCTTGTATTTGTTGAATATAGGATCCTTCACTGTGATGTTTAATGGGGACAAAGAGAAGGCAGTGTCCATACCCTAGTGAAATCAATTAGATTTGGGTACCTAACTCTTTGAAAATCCCAAACTACACTATTAACAAAGAATTTAAAAAACAGAGTTTACTTGTCAGTATGCATGCTTCTCATTTGTTCTTTCTGTTGTTACTGTTCACTCAGAAAGCAATGAAAGCAGTTTGATTTTTGGTGTGTTGTATCTTAGTGTTTGGACTCCAGTCTATATTTAAAAAAAAATCTCAGTTTTCACTAGGTTCTGTAAGCAGTAGTGTAAAAGCTTATCCTTGGGTTTGGTTTTCAGAAATGCTTGTTGTTGCAAAGTGTAAATGTTGTCCCCAATTTAAGAGGACAACATCTTCTTAAGATCTATTATGATTTATGTAAGGACATGGTCTAGATTAGTTTGTATGTCTATGTTAAACATAGTTCAAATACTACAATATTGGTTCTAGCTAGACATTTGACTCAGCTCTAAATGAGCAACATCCCAGCTATTTTATAAAGCCAAGGTCAGTGGATTAATTTAAGATGTTGGAATTTGTCTGATCTGTAAAATGGCTGTGAGCCAAGAAATCAATTGGAGAGGGAGAGAAAAACTCTTGGTCTACTTAGGAACTTCAGACTGCTTGAAAGAGAAATAAACTACTGTAATATCATTAAATATTAGGCCCTTATAATTTTCTTCTCTGATGTGGATTTGAATACTAATTCTAAAGGACAAGGTGTCATTGTCATGGCATCATAAACTGTTTTAAAATTTCAAGAAAGCCTTTCTGCCTGATTCTCTTCAGACAGAAACCAGGCCTATATTGGGAAGTTTTGCAGGTAGCGTTTATGCTGCTGTGCTGGTGCTGATATTGCAGTTTCACCCACGTGTGTACATCGCTGGCTGTCTGTGCAAGTGAAGCATGCCCTTTCAGTAAGTGGTCGTACGAGTACAAAATGGGTTTGTTTCACTGTGGTTGGGTATTCTGGTGCCCCTTGTAGCATTGGCTGTGACATTTGTGCAGTGCTTTGTGGGATACCCGCACTTCTCCCAGGGGATTGTCTGAGCCTGAGGACAAATTCCTACAATCCCCTTTGGAACGATCAGCAGCGGCTGCATACATTTTGGATGCAAGGCAGCTTTGTTCGTGGAGTTGTGCGCAGAGCTCACCTCCATCCTTCAGCACACGCGCACCTAAATGAGAGCTGGTTTGACAGTGGAGAAATGACAGTTGCATCCTGGACATTTGCAATACCAGATCGTGATCAGTCTTGGATAATGCAAGGGGTGCTGGCAAATCTATGCAGAACATCCAGATCTTCAGGTCCATCAAGGATGTTTTTCCACATGGGGTGAGCCCTCACTTGATGTGCAGTAAAGAAAGGAGGGATTCAGGATGCTTGGGGTTCTTCAGCTTCAAACAGGATTCACATTCTGGTTCTGCCCTTCCTCTTTCTCCCAGTTCCCATGTACCTAGAAAACAGTGCTTTTCTGGGGTTGTGCAAGGAATGGTAGATCACCAAATAAATGTGCTAGACCTACTTCAGAGCAGTTTGGTAGTTTCCAGTGTGGTGAATATGGGATATTAGGTGTCCCATGCAGTAAATGTGGGGCTGGTGCACTAAATATTGGCCAGGCTACTCCAGTAAGTGGTGATTCTGGCTGACAGATTGCCTGTGGTGCCAGAGCCCCGAGAAAGCAACTGCTTAATGCAGCCTGTAGTTGCCCAGGCTTGTATGCTGCCAGCCTTTTTGCAGCAATGATGGCTCCAGAAC